ACTAGCTTTTACCTAGAAATGGACGGCTAGATAGAATAAATAAACTGGACTCTAGAGCAGTATTTGTAGATGTACGCTAACAAGCTATAGAATAACTAGGTTAAGCTTCTGCTAATAGCACAATTAGCCTATAATAGCTTAAAGTTAGCTACGACAAGGAAGTTACCACACTACGCGAACTATAGGTATAAGCTAGTTGCTTATTAAGACATAGTCGTTTAGTTTTTAGATTTTATCTTAATAAAAAAACGTTGTCCCCCTTTTTAAAAGTTAGTCCCTTAATCTTTTGCTTATTCGCGGCTTATGCTACTATACAGAGAGGTGACACGAAAAAAACGTCACTCAAAAAGCTGTTATTTTACAACTGTAATATATAGCTGGAAAAAATAGCTAAAAATAAACGGATTGCAGATCTAGAAAGCCAAGATCTCCTAGTTCGGCATAGTGAGCCCACCTCCTGCTTAGTCAGCAGCTCTGAGCGGAGAAAAATTATAGAATATAGGAGACTAAAATAATAAAAATTTCATTTATTGTAAAAACAATAGTCCTTACTTAAAAAGGCTTAGTTTTGAGATATGTGACAGTCTATATATAGAAGATCACGTGACATGTTTTTTTATATTTTTAGCAATCCTCTAGAATTCAATATTAAGTTCTAAAGACAAAGTTACTAAATTAAGTTTAGTGTATTACTAAGCCTGATTAGTCATAATATACTATATATTTGATTCTTTCTATCCTGAATTTCTGATTTCTTAATTCTTCACTATGGATCCAAAATTTTCAAAATTTGAAGCTGAAGTTGCCCGTTTGTTAAAGGCAAATATAGCCATTAGAAATGTATCTATTTTACTTAGTAAGCCACCTAAGGCTATTAGAGACGCTATTTATCGATTTAAAAAGAAAAAAAATTAGAAAAGAAAGCTTGAAAGAGTTAGTAGAGGCGGAGTTTCAAAGCTTTCAGAAAGAGATAAAGGATCTATTAATAGAGACTTAACTAGGAGCCCTAAAAAGACAAATCGCCGATTATGAGTTGAAAATGACGTCAATATTTCAACTAGAACTTTACAGCGATTTTCAAAAAGAGAGGGCTATTCTATTAACATTACAAAGAAAAAATCAATTTCAAACAAAGAAAAAGCTAAAAATATATTAAAATACGCTAAGGATATGCTGAAAAATCTATCTAATATTAGATTAGATAGGATAATATTTTCAGATGAGTCAGCAATCCAAAAAGGCCGAGGATATAGAGGAGAATATGTAAGAAAACGCCAAAATAAGCGCCAAGGTCGAGAACAAGTTTCTACAGCCAATAGATGTAAGTTAAAAAAATCCTAATAGGCTAAAAGTATCTATTTTTAGTCTAATATTTTTTTAATATTTCAATCGATTTTTAGCTTGCTTACTAATAGAGTTATAGCTAGAGATATTACTATCCAAGTTTGGGGAGCAATTTGGATAGGTGGTAGATCTGATCTAGTAGTAATTCGGGCTCCAAATTCTTCTCCAAACTTCAATAATCACCAATATATCTGTAAGGTGTTAATACCTTAAGTAAAGCCTAATATAAAACCAGGTAAGTAATATATAAATTTTTATATCAAAGAATTAATCTAGCACACCTAATTAAAGAGCTATAAATCCCAATTTCGGATATATTATAGATATAACTAACTACTATCTAGGCTGGAAGCTTCAGCAGGATAACTTCATAATGCATACTACTGAAAACGTTTTCAGCTGGTTTAAAAGAAATTCAATTGAAGTCTTCCCTCATCCACCTTACAGTCCAGATCTTAATCCAATAGAAAATGTGTGGAGTTTACTTAAAAACGATTGATCTAAAAGATCTAGATCCTTTTTAGGCTTAGGTAATTACCAGAAGAGTATAGCGGCTTTTACTAGGGCTATATTTGAAGAGTGGCAAGCTATTCCACAACAGGATATAGATAGTTGTATTTTATCTCTACCTAGGCGTTGGCAAGCTGCAGTAGAAGCTAAGGGCTGGTACACCAAATAATAGCTTCTATTCTTAGCGAGAAATAAATATACTCTAAAAAATCAGACTCTTCTATATATCACGTGATCCAACTAGTAAAGGTATACTATAACAGTCAGAGCTTGGAGATTAAAGATAGATCTATAATATATATTAGACTTAGACCTTTTCATATAAAAACAATAGAGTAATCTAGATATTCAGTTTAGATTTATTCAAGCTTCTAGTTTGGGGATTTTTGTTCGCTCAGGGCTGCTGACTAAGCAGATAGTGGGTCCACTATGCCAAACTAAGAGATCTTGGCTTTCTAGATCTGCAATCCGTTTATTTTTAGCTATTTTTTCCAGCTATATATTAAAGTTGTAAAATAACAGCTTTTTGAGTGACGTTTTTTTCGTGTCACCCCTCTGTAAGGTTCTGCTAAGCAATGCTCTTGCTTAGTTCTATATGCAATTCTTGCATTAGTTATGCTTTATTATCTACGCCTACTATAATACTCTTAATGTCTTTAGGATAGAAAATTGAACAGCCTCTAAGTAGGACTATTTAAAATCCTAGAGGAAGTTAGGAAAGTAAATTATAAGTTAAAACTCCTACTAGGTATACGAATACACCCTGTCTTTTATAAGAAACTACTAGAAAGAGCACCTCTAGACGCCAAGCTAGCAATAGATATAGAGCTTAAAGACGATAAGTACGCAGTTGAAGAAATGAAGAACCTGCGGAAATTTAGTAGTTAGTAGAAGTACTTAGTCAAGTGGTAGAGATAGCCTAAAAGCTATAACACTTAGGAACTTAAAAGAAACCTAATAAACTACAAGACACTAGTACGCAAGTACTATTAGAAACATCCACAAAGGCGAGGATCAGATTCTTATAGGATAGGAAGAAGTTAAAGGACAAAGGATTAAAAGAAGAAGAATTAGCCTATAACTAGCCTAGGTTAGTCGACTATGCAGGTAGCGAGGGTCTAGTTAATAGAAGGTCTATACTAGGGGCGGAGCTCCCCTTGGCTTTTTCTTTCGCGCGATCCTAAAACTTAAGGACAGCAAGGTCGCGACGGGCGAAGGAACGCTCTTAAGACTTCACCTCTAGGAGCTCACAACGAAGACGCGCGGCTGCCTCTTTAGCCTAAGCAACCTTAAGCTCCTTTTGCTCGCGCTTTTGTTGCACTTTCTCTTACTTTTCTTTAGAAATAAATAGACTACACTTAGCTTTTATAGAAATATAACTAGCGCAACGCCTAGTAGTAGTGTCTATAAAACAACAAAGGTTTTTCTCCTTATAATAAGAATAGCAATAAATAGTTATCTTATTCCCCTACTCTATTATATAATTAGCATAGGAATAACGCTCTTTATTTAACTTATAAGCGCGAACGTGGGTATAGGAAGACAGGACCTTAGGCATGGTTAGGAAGGCTAGAATTAGGAAAGGACGGTTACTAGGGCCTAGGGCCTACTAACCTTATATGCAACTAGCGCCTTACGAAATAGTATAGCAAAACAATATTCTAGAGTATTAGGACGATACGCCTAAGAGGGGGGATAATGTTACTTGTAACAAGAAGGATTCTCTCCTTAACGCAGGATGACGAGGTTGAGGGCCAACCACGCCCACGTCAGAAGGTAATGGCTATCGCGGGGCTTAGAGTCACGTGATGTGCCATCCCGCCAAGGCTGGCCATCTGGGATGGCAGCGCACTAAGGGATGGCAGCGCCATCCCCAACCTCCCGCTAGGATAGGATGGATGGGATAGCAGGACCTGAAGCAATAAGTATAAGAATGGGTTGGATTTCATTATTACACTTGTTGTGGTTAACTTAGAATAGTTTATCTCTTACCTAGATTGATACTAGTTATTCTATCTTAGTATAGAATTAATTGTTTACTCTTTGGTTAAATCCTATAACTCTTTTCCACACAACACTCGCCAAACAATCTCACGAACTACTGCTTAGTCTGCTCGCCCTAACCCGGATCGAGACCAGAGAAGTATAGCCGACCCTCGTGTAACAGCAAGCTTGAAGCTTAATTAATGCTAATACGTGATTAGGTTTAGCGGCATAGGATCTCTTTACTAGCATTAATTATTGCAGCAATTAACTAGCTAAAGAAGAGGGCTAAGGTTATAATACTCTTAGCTAAGCTTATGCGCGATTAGATCGCTAGCCTTAAGAGGGCTAATAAGGTAGCAATAAAGCGTAGGTAGCGTAAGAAGAAGTAGATATAGAAGCAAGGAGTGCTAATAAAGGGAGCTAGAGAGGATCTACTTACTTAGCGCAAGGCTAATTAGTAGATTGCTTATAAAGAGCGTTAAGGAGGAGAGCGATTAGGTGTTAGCCGCTAGGCTTTAGCGCGCTATAGTAGGTGTAGAGAGACTAGCTATAACTCGCGCACGTGCAAGAAAGATACTTTAGGTACTGCTTAATCTATTTTGTTAATATATAGTAAAACAAATAGATTGTAGTAGAACTACAGACTTATAGAGGTGCGCAGGTTTAGTGGGGTGCGGCGCTCGCTTGCCACATACGTTATCAGTATTTAGCGCACTCATATCATCATGGGTGGCCGGACATGGCGGCGACTACGGTTTTCGAAACCTCTGCTCTTCCAACTCTGTTCGAACACGACGCTACAAGGCCTGGACAGCACTGCTAGACGTGCGTCATGTATACCAAGAGGCTGTGGACAAACATGTGTTCGACATGAGAAGATGGGCGCATCACCAACGCGTGCTGGGTCATGTACCCCGCAAACGGCCGGCGGCGCCATGGCGGAGATGAGGAAGTCCAAGCCTTTCACCCCGTGCCCTTGATCGTAGCCACGACTACAAACATGTTCAAGCGCGCAATAAGTAGGGCACTGGACAATTTATAAAAGGCGCATCGTCTGACCTCGTGAAGAATACGCATCTGCAGCAGCAAAAAACAACAACACCTACCTCCATCAGCGCTGTACAGTTCTTGGTGTGTCAAGATAGCATTGATCTGCGACCATGCTTCTCACTACTCCCATTGTCCTGCTTGCCTCGGTAGTTTCAGCCCTACCAACCACGTCTCCATCCGAGCCCGCAAAAGCCTCGAATTGCGACATCCTCAAAGCCCTAGCCGGCACATATGCGCTTGTCAACACGTCGAGCACGCAGAACAACGTGCCCATCCCAGATGCAACCTACGGCGAGCATCCAGTCGGCATCCTCATCTACACCGCTTCAGGTCACATGAGCGCCACCCTCACAGCCACGGAAAAGGATCTCCGGCCTCCCGTACAATTCCCCTTCCGCCCCAACGAGACCGACGCCGAATGGGCCCTGGTTGGAAAGCACAGCATCGGATACGCAGGGCCGTTCCGCATCAATCCTGCCGTTCCAGCAACTGAGACCGACGGCCAACTCTTCCACGGCCCGCTGACCGTGGCCAACGTGCCGACAATGGTGGGACAGGAACACAGAAGGAACTACACGGTTGTGGAGCGCGAAGAAGATGGCGCAATAGTCAAGTATCTCAAGATTGGCAGTGAACGGGGCGGGGGCTTCCGCGGCGTGCTGTGGTGGAAAAGGATCGATTAGGCCTGGTCATGGAATGCGCATAATACGTAATAACGAATCTCTCTTTCCCATCAGCACATTCCCTTGCATCGAGCGTGGTATCTTTTTGTGCAATGTTACTATTACCGGGTGGCGCAGATTTCGCCTTCAAGATTATGGCACGATTAAAGGATCAGGCACAAGTCCTATTCTTGTATCAATATCGGTTATGTATTGATTGACTGTTTCGCAAACACGGCTGTCTGTATCTGGTTAGCGATGCGACAATCCCCTGACCGGGCTGCCCTGGTCTTACAGCAAAGGCGTTGTATAGGTATCCTGTATTTCCCTTCCTCCGCCAGCCCCTGAGGATTGACAGGAACGACGATTTCCATTAGGATAATATGGTCAAGTTTGGCTCCAAGACCGAGCCATGGTAGTACAAGGCTTTTATAGTAACCTTTCTGGACACACATGGCTTGCTTGTATGCAAGGTTGTATTGAGAACCCCGGTCAGCATGCTGTCGGCGAAAACGACGTGCAAAAAAAAACGCATTTCCGCGCACCTCATATTGGACATCCGTTGGTGTGCTTCATGCCGCAATCTTAGCGTGGGAAACACGAGGCTATGTGTCAGCTGGGTGTGAGTGTTTCAGAATGATGGTCCACTTTACATACGTGTGGTTGTGAAGAGTATTATTGACAGCGGGGACCCGTTGGAATTCCGGCTTGCTATACTTACCTATTTTTCGTCTCTCGACGCAACATTACCATTGTATTTTTGCTAAAGTTTGACACATTACTACACACATTACACGCGCTCGTTTCAGCCAACGTGATTCCAAACACATCTGCACTACTATTGGCGTGATTCATATCGTAAATCAGCATATAATGCTGGAAACAGAAGTTCGTTTAGTGTTGTTTCGCACCATGGCTGCAATATGCGCAATTCTTTATTCATACCAATCCACGGTGATGGACATGGAACATCTTCGGCAACGAGTCATGTGTCTGTCCGTAGTCAATTTTATTCACGACTATCCGCATCTTTTACCGGTGGCTGGTCTCACACTCTCGTCTCCTTGAACGGCAAGAAGCCTCCTGTCTTTCTTCCTCACGACCGCGTCGATAACGATAGTATTAATATCGACTGGGCTGGAATGGAGAATGATTCTCCCACTTGATAGTGGCTAGGTTGAACGAATGTTTGATGCCTAAATTCTCAAGAAGCGAGCGCCGTGTCTTGGCTTGCTCCATGTGGTATTCATTGTAGTGGTTTCGCGCGTATTGTAGGCTGAGTTTGGCTTCGGAGATGATTGATCCAGCAGTGCAGAAATGGCAATCTACGCCCAGCACTGCATTGACTTGCAGCCCGATGAAATCACCGCCTACACTACCATCTTGAAACAGCGCGTCGAAGCAGTAGGGCCTCCCCATGGCCGTTTGTAGTTTTGTACTTGACGCCGAGCTGACGAATACGCCGGCTGCTTGCAAAAATTTAGCATTAGCTATTACCACTGTACCACCAGATAACACAAAAATACCATCATCCAGCAGATACTACATAGCTACATGCATCTTGGAATGCCTTACTAACAATCACGACAGATGCATTCTTATCGGTGCAGTCTATGGCCTAGGCACCGTCAGGCATCAGAATGACTTTTACGACTTTCGCTACCTTGCTGTTCTCGATTGAATACTCGTCCTTGCTGGGACAGGAGGGTTGCTCGCATCGTGTATGAGAACGGCACCCTTCTTCAAGAGGATGATACTAGGAGACATAAAAGTTTATGCATCAACAGGCTAGGCTGTGATTGAAGCATTGATTTCCTAACCACCTGCCCTCAGGCTACTTATTCACGGTAGCTTTTTATCGTCTCTTCAGCAGGGACAGACCTGGCCGTCTAGTCCAAAACTATTTCTGAGTTTCCGTCTCTCCTTAGCCTAGCAAACTCCAAGGCGAATATCGCTCTGGCTTATGTCTGAGGAGCAACGCTGGCCTTATACAAGGTCGAGACCGTGTGAGGAATTCGAGGCTACACCGGTGCTCTGTTTTTGTCGCACCTGCAGACGCCCGGTTGACGTACATTTTTTTTTGGGTCAAGCTGTCTGAGTCATTACAGAAGTATTTCTGTGGCGACGAAGGCTGTACTGATAACATAGGTAGGTAGCCAGAGTCATCTGTGGGGCGGGCCACTGCGAGGTATGAGATGTGTTTCTCCACACCTCCATCACTACTTCAGCTTCAGCTTCTCGAAAGCATTGTAGCAATAATCAACCAGGACTTGCATTTATACACCGCTACGATACAAGTATCATTTCCATCACAGATATGCTAACAATTCGTCTTAGGCTTTAGACGGTCAAGGCCCTGAGCCATTGGCATCATTCATCAACATTCGCCCGCAGATCCCGTTCTGCCTACCCGTCATCTTCCAAGTGAATTTTCACCGGACCGAGATCTTACGCGGCATGCGTTTCTTACTGCCCTGAAAGCGCCCAGCTGTACAGCTTGACCTGGCACAACTATTCAGGCATCTGGTGGGAAGCAGTCATCGGTCGGCTTCTCTGAAAGAAAGACGCCTCCAATTGTCCCTTGACAAGTCGTTACGTCTGACCGCCTTGCACCTTGATAGCCGCAGATCAAGAGCATCCGCTACTGCAAGCTCCAGGTGTCCACTATGTCGCATTTGCCTTTATGAGCAGCAAAGACTTCGCCAAGCGGCTAATGTGTGTGCGGAGTTTATACTGGCATGGGCTGCAGATTGTGAAGAAAGATCCGAACACAATTCGATGCTAGAATGCCGTCAGGCTTAGCAGCAGTGCGCGCGGGCATTATCGGGCTGCGGAAATAGCGCTTGAACGGTCAAAGAGAATGCATAACAAAAAAAGAAAACTGCTCTACAAGGCATGATAGGGTAAATATACGTCACTCGGAATCACACCGAGTAAGACAGAAGCCATCTGCAGAGACGACACGCGGTCCGGCGCAAGAGCTGTGGCGTCTATTGGTAAGAGTAAGTTTTCAGCTACTTTCTTGTCCGCACCATTATCTGTATCCGATTGAAGTGGAGGATCACGAGGCGTACGGCGCGGCATTTGCAGAGAGATAATGTCACTCGCGTCGACTGTTTCTCGCTGATTGGAAGGACTTTGAGTTGAAGGCGTATTCACAGCTACGTGTAGCTGGACAAGGGTCCATGTGATGCAGTAAAGCTTGTCAAATAGCCCCTAAGTAAGTAAGTACACTATAAGTAGTAAGACCGAGCAACTGCAAGCCGGTCCAACAGCTCCACCAATAGGGAGTTTTCCAGCCACTCGGGACGCCTCCGCGTTTCTTCATCCCGCGTATATGCTACGAGCACGCGTGGTCGGGACATTCCAGCCTACTGTTGCGGCTGAAGCACAAGCGGGAAACCTGGGTAAGCATTGTACCAAGTGCCAATGCCGCCAGACGAGATGTCGCAATCCTTGGCGTTGATTGCGATCTCTCCGCCATTCATCCGCCTCCCAGTCCAGTCGACGCAAAGATGCAGCGCATCTCGGCGTTCCGCTCCGCGCTGTGGAGCGCAAGCCGGGAGACTTCAAAAGTAAAACAACTGTACAGTAGTCCCATAGGTGAAGGGTATGACTGTCATGTCAAACAGAACGGTTAAGTATCAAGTGCAGCTGCGGCCAACAGAGCTAACCAGCATGCATTGCTCCTCCACACGGTCTGCAAGCGCCTCGAAAAGCCACCTTTTCAGCTTGTGGAAGCCCAGAAATTACAAGATCAGCGCTTTACTGTGTGCAGCTCGACCAAGATCTTGTCTTTCGTTTGCCAATACATACCATGGCGCTCAATGCAAGCACGCCATGTTCGGCCGCTCTAGGGCGATGATACTCGTCCACTGTGATTTGCACAGAGCTTTATAAGTGTCGCTCTCCGCTTGCCAAGTTGGATGTGCCGTCTTGTCATACACTCTTCCCTGAATCTTTATCCAACTAAAGCCTATGCGGCTGTGCCTCCGTCCTGAGTTTTCCCCGGCACTTTTCCACAGCAACGCTCCCTCGTCGGCACCAAGCCTTGGACATTATCGATTGGCTCAACTCATCAGCAGAGCGTAGGACAAACTATAGGCGTCCGGCTGTCTTATATCAAGCCAGGTACCGAGCAACCCCAGGGACATCTTAGTTCAAACTTCCTTCATACCCCTCACCGCCAAGCAACCCGGTGGTACCCAAAAAAAACCCCCGGTATCGAAAGTTTCGGCCTGGAGCTATACCTAAGCCTCTCAAAAGCTAGATCACATTCATCTTCAAGCCCGGCAACATGGAGTCAGCCGCTCGTGGCACAGCCAAGGTGCTTGGGATCAAGCTTGACTATCGGAGCGAGCCCGATGTTTCTGGCGGTGCATCAATTGCCTCTGTCGAGACTTGTGAGTACCATGAATGCCATTCCGTAGCAATAGCTAATCAAAGACAGACGTTGAGTCTGAACCGACTGCGAAAGAATGGCTTGCACAATTCAAGCCCTCCGCAAGTGCCACGAGGCGTTACTTTAGAAGTCTTTTCCCGTTTCTGGATTGGATATTCCACTATAACTTGACATGGCTTTTTGGGGATTTTGTCGCTGGCATGACGGTTGGATTCGTCGTGATTCCCCAGGGCATGGCGTACGCTTTGCTGGCAAAGCTACCACCCGAGTATGGTCTCTACACCAGCTTTGTGGGTTTCATTCTCTACTGGGCTTTTGCTACCTCCAAAGACATCACCATCGGCACCGTTGCCGTCATGAGCACCATCGTTGGCAACATCGTGACCAAGGTCCAGGCCTCTCAGCCAGAGATTGACGCTGTCGACATTGCCAGAGCACTCTCTGTCCTTGCTGGCTCAATTCTGCTATTCATCGGACTTACCAGGTTAGGGAGAATTGTGGAGCTCATCCCTTTGGTGGCTATTACCTCGTTCATGACGGGCGCCGCTATCTCCATTGGAGCGGGTCAAGTACCTACACTGATGGGCATATCTGGTGTCAACAGTCGCGGATCCACCTACCGCGTTATCATCGATACCCTGAAAGGCCTGGGTCGTACAAAACTCGATGCTGCTATGGGTATCACTGCTCTTTTCATGCTGTATTCTATCCGCATCTTTTGCAATTATATGTCGAGGAAGCAGCCGTCACGGCAGAAAGTGTGGTTCTTTGTAAGTCCTCCATGTCCGATGCAAAGACGGAAAGAAAACTGATCAATGCCCCAGTTGAGCACGCTACGTATGGCCTTTGTCATCTTGCTATATATTTTAATCAGCTGGCTTGCCAATAAGGACATCAAGGGGCTCCATTCCAACGTCAAATTGGCAAAGTTCAAAATTCTAGGCCGCGTCCCTCGTGGCTTCCAACACGCCGGTGTTCCGAAAATGGATACAAAGGTTCTTTCAGCCATTGCTTCGGATCTTCCAGTGACGACCATCGTGTTGATTCTCGAACATATTGCCATATCAAAATCGTTTGGTCGCATCAACAATTATGTTATCAATCGTAAGTCACACGTGTCTGCCTTGGGTAGAATTTGGGGAGAGTCTAACAGTGCTCCTCAGCATCGCAAGAACTTGTCGCTGTCGGCTTTACAAATGTGCTTGGACCATTTCTAGGTGCATATCCAGCCACCGGTTCCTTTTCTCGTACAGCCATCAAATCGAAAGCAGGTGTTCGTACACCACTGGCTGGTATATTCACCGCCATCCTCGTCCTTCTCGCGCTGTATGCATTGACAGCGGTATTTTTCTACATCCCCTCGGCTAGTCTGGCAGCCATTATTATTCACGCTGTTGGTGATCTCATCACACCCCCCAACGTCGTGTTCCAGTTCTGGGAGACGTCTCCTTTGGAGGTTATCATCTTCTTTGCTGGTGTCTTCGTGACGGTATTCACGAATATCGAAAACGGTATCTATGTTACCATCGTTACTTCTTTTGCACTGCTACTCTGGCACCAGCTGTTTACACATGGTGCCCTCCTCGGCAAGGTCAAAATCTATCGTGCAACCCCGGAGACAATAGCCAGCAAAGAAGACGGCCATTTGACACCTGGGTCTGAGCCGTCGGTCCGTGAAGCCTTCATTCCCATCAGTCGCAAGGACGGTTCTAATCCCCTCGTGGATATTGAATCACCATACCCTGGCATTTTAATATATCGCTTCTCAGAAGGCTTCACATATCTTAATCAGCAAGGGTATATGGACGAGCTCGTACATCATGCGCAAACCATCTCCCGTCCGACGACACTGGATAAATACGCCAAACTCGGTGATCGGCCTTGGAATGATCCCGGTAAGCAAAGTGCCCATGGGTGCATCTTGTAAACTACAATTTACTGACTTTTTGCAAGGACCGCGTCGTGGACAGCAAATCAACTATGACGATAACCGGCCCATTCTCCGCGCCATCATCTTGGACTTTAGCGCCGTCAATAACGTCGACGTGACTTCGATCCAGGGTCTCATTGATGTGCGTGCACAGCTCGACCGCCATGCTGCCCCAGAAACTGTCGAGTGGCATTTCGCCTCGATCAACAGTCGGTGGACCAAGCGTGCCTTGACTACTGCTGGGTTTGGATACATTGACCGTGAGCGCTTCGCAGCGCGCCAACACTGGAACCCGGTTTATAGCTATGTGCCTCTTGACAACTCTGCACCCAGGCTGCATGATGCAGAGGCACAGGACGATATTCATGTCCTCGGTGAGAATAAAGGTCTGCCAGCAGGAAAGGTGACTACCGTTCATGGGCAGAACAGACCGTTTTTTCACATTGATGTGGCGGCGGCGGTCGAGAGCGCCATCGCTGGCGTCATGAGCAAGATGTCGCAGGACAGCTCACAAAGCTCTCCGGTAGTGGGCAAAACCCAATTTACGACAAAGGCCGAGTAGCATGGTAAATTTAGACTTTTTTTAATCTCGGGGATTCGGGAAGACGATGGCTCGATGCGTGTATTAGACAGGTCAAAGTGAATTCACAGTTTCCGACCTACGGTGGACTTTAACCTTTGTGCAATCTGGCACGTTTCAATACGCTCGGACTTGTTGTCAGTAGGAGCAATTTTGCTGCTCTACATGTACGACTATCCATGTGTTATGCCTGTATTCTGCATGCATGATGCGGTGCGCGATTTCCAACACGCCCATGTTGGCTGTACGCGTTTCACAAGCCGTGCAACCTGTCTTTCTTCAACCATGTCCCAACAGTCTACGCGTCTGCCGGTAAGGATGGGTTCTGTAATCAAAACAACAAGTACTTTGAGTTACTTGTCTTCGTCATCGAGGTACGCTTTCTCAATGAATCTTCCAGGTGAGACAAACATGATGCCATTCCCCAAGTCCAGCATACCCCTGTGCATGGTTAGACACCGCCTGGACTACAAGGCTGGGCTGGGACACCGGCACCCCGGACCTTGGTTCGCCGTGTACAAGTAGGGCACGGTACGGTACGGATGCAGGTGTGGTCACGGCGCCATGCGACCACGACTGTTGACGGAACGGACGGCTGATGGGCCGCCGAAAAGGGTGGGGAGGGGAGAGGAGCGACGACAGAACAGGCTTAGCCAAGCACATGACGCAGGCTGTAGGCTGGTCTTCGGTGTACGCCCACGCCTATGATGCAGATGCCAAGCGCTGGCAGACGCATCTTGCCCTCCTCATCAGTGGTGGCTACTCAAGTCTCTAATCATTAATCAAACCTGTTTTCTCTTAGGTGCAGTAGAGCTTTTGCTCTAAAAGAAATATACTTTCTTCCTTCATGTTGAAAACTAAAAATAAAGAGTCTAATTAGGCCAAGGTCTATTATTTTTGGGATACGTAAGCTTACTTGAAAAGTCTTCAAAAAGCTTTATATAGTGTCTATCATAGTAGACCCTATAGCAGAATAAGTAACTATAATTGGTTAAAGAAGCTTTTAATGCCTCCTCGCCATCAGTAGGGCAAAACGTAGCACGCATTACAGCGCACCACCCGCATGCATACGAAGAGTAAAAGGGATGCAGTTGCATGCCCCCTCGTCATCCTTTGAGCACAGTCACGTGGTGCTCAGCCGATCGTCGTTATCAAGTACTATGGACTGGCCGATGATCCGAGGGCAGCGCAACAAGGTGACGACTCCGTAGATTAAATCGTGGTGCAGTGGACAAATTAGCAGTGGTTCCCGAGCAGAGTTGTTTAGCCCAGTGCCATTTGCCGTAGGAACCTTGCTCATAAAGACATTGGTGTATGATTCTGAAACGGCGCTAAAAGGGAATGCCGACATTTTTTTCTGCCCTGACTCCTTTACTCGCCACAGTGCCCCGCCTAAAATGGCAAAAGTTATTCGTCCTACCACTAAGCGGCTATTTGGCCTACCACTTAGCAGGGGTCTGCATTTGTGGGCTTGGCTAAAACATTGGCAGTATTTTATATTACTTACTGTAATATAGCTGTGCCGTAGTAAGTTCTAGTGCATAAAGATAGCTAGTATGTTAATAAAAATTCAATAGTGTTGCGCAGCTAAAACGGAAGTCGCAGAAGCAAAAAAAGTGAGGCTTAAAAACTGGCTATACTGCTCAATTTTTGGTGTTCTATATAGCCTAAAAACTAGCCCAAAACGGGCTCCTAGCTACTCACTGAAAAAGCCATGGCTGGCGTAGTACGACGATCGCGTTGGCTGACTGTAATAGGGCTCCTAATCATCATCGCGCCTTTCGCCACCTGAGTTTGGCGGTAAATTTGGGTGGAGAGGCAAGTGGTATAGAGGATGGGGATGTTGCGCGACAGCCGGGCGGTCGAGGTGGCCGAAACGGGCACCCGGAGGCCCATTTTGAAGCCCTATCGCGAAGCCTCTGTAGGCGGAGCCGTACGCGAGCGGTAGTTGCGGCTCGCCCAAAATAAAACACCAAGCTTCGATACTGGATAGGTATCATCCAGTTGCTGAGTCGGTCACAAAATTGAGTGCCAAGTCATTATATTACAGTGCTAACTCCATATAGTTTGGCTGTGCCCGCACTAATGCAGACCCCGGCTAAGTGGTAGGCCAAATACCGGCTTAGTGGTAGGACGAATAACTTTTGCCGCCTAAAATGGGCTTTGGACGGGCCTGCCCTCGCTGACGGCGTTTTCGTATCACTACAAGCTGCACTCTAGCTTTATGCCTGGCCCTTGTCTTAATATGTGCCATTCCTTGCAAACACATATGCGTCCCGCTGTGCTTGCACCGTCAATCCGAGTGTTGCCAAAATCTCCGCATGCTGTCCTTATCGTCCGCCGCTGTGCTGACTGATCCTCGGCAAGTGATCTGCGAGTAAAGCGGCCGCACAGTGCCGGCGATATGAAAATCCAATCTAGCGTTAATATCATCATCTTGACCCATGTGCACACTACGCTGTACCGGCGAGCAGGGTGACAGCCTGCGAGTCAACTCGTCACTTTTCTGTACCAAATACCATGTTCGTGCACCAGATCACACAGAGTATCCGTGACTCAAAACGATTCGCGCGACATGTTGCGCACATTTACTTCTCATCTTGGTGGATTGGCTGCCCTGTATCACTGGCTGAGGTAGATTGGAACCTCTTTATATGCGAACAAGGCTTACCACTGCAGATGATGGGAGTGCAGGGGTGGCTGAGTTGGAGCCGCCAGCCATGAAATTGCAGTGGGCACATGAGGGAAAACCGTTGGATTGTGCAGAGCAGAAACTGTGGGGTAGACAGCCTAGAAGGCTTCCATCATGGCGGCATCCTTGGAGCAAGAGAATATATATACGTGCATCTTCAGTGAGGCATGTCTTCATAGCCGCTTGCCTCACACTCGTAACTTGGACATAGTCAACCACCTACCCAGAGACTACAGAGCCTGCCCGTCATGGTATCTTTCAAACACCTCGCCCTCTTCGCTCTGACGACTGGCTTCGCCACTGTCGAAGCCCAGTCTACAGGAAAGACAACCCGCTACTGGGACTGTTGCAAAGGCTCTTGTGGATGGTCTGGTAAGGCAAACGTGAACCAGCCTATCAGGACGTGTGACAAGAGCGACAATCCCATTGCCGACCTGGCTGCCAAGAACGGATGCGAGAGCGGTGGCACAGCGTACATGTGCACCGACCAATCCCCATGGGCCGTCAACGACAACCTCGCGTATGGCTTTGCTGCCGTGAAGCTGGCCGGAAAGACTGAGAGGGACTGGTGCTGTGCTTGTTACGAGTGAGTGCATGCATGCATACACGGTGCTACCATTGGACGAGCGTTACTGATGTACACTGTTCAGGTTGACCTTTACATCCGGCCCCGTGTCTGGCAAGAAGATGGTTGTGCAGACCACCAACACGGGCGGCGACCTTGGGGACAACCACTTTGACCTTGCCATGCCCGGTGGCGGTGTGGGCATCTTCAACGGATGCACGTCACAGTTTGGTGCACCATCTAGCGGCTGGGGCCAACAATACGGCGGCATCTCGTCGCGTTCCGAGTGCGCAAACTTCCCCGAGAAGCTCAAGGCTGGGTGCTACTGGAGATTTGACTGGTTCAAGAACGCAGACAACCCGAGCGTGAGCTTCAAGGAGGTTACCTGCCCCGGCGAACTGACATCCAAGACTGGCTGCATCCGGAAGTAGGGGAGATTTGGAGCGAGGAACGACGGGTGCTGGAGTACGAGTGCGGCTGTGGGCGTACATGAGCAGCACGAGGCAACGCAAACGGCAATGGACGCATGTATGTATGAAAAAGGCAGAAGCGGCAACGGCTCTGAGCATGTTAGCACAGGCTCGGGGCATAGCAATTAAAGGCTTCCACGCGACCCAAGCTCTTGTGGAAAACGTCTATCTGGAGGACACGGGCGCTGTGACCAAGGCAGCGACCGTGCATAGTGCATGCATGCTGATTACGGTAGGGAACGGCAGCAGGTCCACGTGGGCATGGGGACTGCACGAGAGCCGATGTCATGGAGAAAGCCGACATGTGTACGGATTGGGATGCGTGCGGTGACGATGATATATGCTCGGGGCATTTGCTCACCGCTTGTGGACACGCACGCCACGGACAACTGAGGCCGCGGGCGCTGGTGGGACGGGACGTGTACACAGGAGCCATGTGCACGGCGAGGAGGCGGGTCGTGGGCGAGGGCCAGGGCGAGAGGATGCTCGTTTGGGCGCCGCGCGTTCTGCTGGATGCTGGGGGAACAAGATGCGGATCGACGGTGCAAAGTTGGCTGGAGATGGACGTGGACGGCCGGCGGTTGGGCTGAGAGGCGGACGGGGCGCTAGCGGCGGCGCCTTGCCCGAAGCGGCATGGTGAAACCAAAATGACGCAGCTGGCCTAGCGGGGCAGGCGCAACGCCTCATGGCCTGTGCCTGCCCTCCACGGCCACGGCCACTGCCACTAAGGCCGCTAATACCGACCTCTGTCGGCTCTTCTCCCTCAGCACCCTTACCCAACATAAGACGCCCGTCCATCAGTATATGCACCCCGCACCTCGTCGCCCGTCTGCTCACAAATATCCTTCCGGCATGTTTCAGGTGTGCTCACCTCAGTCGGCCCAGCCGCCAACCGCAAAAAGCTTCCCGAGCACGTCGCCGTTGACCGTGACTCTCATGCTGACCACGTCCGTACCGCATGACACGACGCAACGGAGCCGGCGCAAAGGCGAACCCACACCCAAGGCATGGATCGCCATGCCGCCTCGGACACCTGCGCACACGGCTCTGCCAAAAGGCGACGATCGCCATGGGCTATACGCCCCTCACGACCATACATACATGTCCTCCCTGAAACCCGTCTCTTTTCTTATTAACCCCAAAACGCTGCTGCTCCTCTCTTCTCCTGCCAGAGCTCCCGCCATCCCATGGCTACGGCTTCGCTCCTCCATTCGACACCAGTGCTCCCGCTTGCCCCTACGCTCCTTTACTAATTCTCCTTTGCGGTTCAGCCCGGCGCTGCCCCCTTCCTTGCTAGACCACCATGCCTCACCGCAGCTTCATATGCCGTCTGCTCTTTTGCGCCCTACTGTCCGTATCCGTCCTTAATATCTTCACCAGGGCTTCCGCCCCGCTCTTCCCTCATTCCGCAAAGTCCGCCGCCCATAACCCCGCTGCAGACGTTTTCTGCCCTCAGTCCAAGCTCGCCAACGACGTCCTCGTCATTCTACGCACTGGAGCCACCGAGTCGCAGGAAAAAGTACCAGTGCACTTCCGCACAACCCTGCGATGTGTCCCACACTTTGTCGTACATTCGGATCTGGACGAAAAGATTGAGGGGCACCCCGTCCACGACGTGTTGAAGGGCGTCAGCGACAAGACGAAGCAGGAAAATGATGACTTCAAACTATACCACCAGCTGCAAGAGCACGGAAGACGCGGAGTCAAACAACAGCCCGTCATGACGTCGCTTTCCGGCTCTTCCAAGGGCGATTACTTGCGCACCGACAATGCAGGGTGGCAGTTGGACAAGTGGAAGTTCTTGCCCATGATTGACAAGGCCATCGAGGAGAAGCCCGATGCCAAGTGGTACGTCTTCATCGAAGCAGACACCTACTTGGGCTGGAACAACCTGCTCGAATTCCTTTCCAATTTCGACGACAGCAAGCCATACTACGTTGGCAAACATCTCTACATTAACGAGGTCGAATTCGCGTATGGCGGTGCCGGCTTCGCTCTCTCCAACCCGGCCATCATGAAGGTTTCCGCACAGCGTTCCAAGCACCTCGCCGAATACGAAGACTTTACCAAGAGTCATTGGGTCGGAGACTGCGGACTGGGCAAGGTGTTTGAAGACTCCAAAATTCCACTCTACCGCGCATTTCCGCACTTGCAAGGCGACTCTCCAGCTACCCTCAACCCAGCCACGTCAAAGATTGACCGTGACCTTTGGTGCTACCCGACTATTACCTACCACCACGTCTCACCCGCCGAGATTGAAGAGCTGTGGGACTTTGAGCAGGACTGGTATAAGCGACACCAAATCCTTCTGCGTCATCGAGACATCTTCATGGAGCTTGTTCGCCCCAAGATTGATACACTGGTCCTAGGATGGGACAATATGTCTGCGGACAAGGAATATAACGCCCACGACCATTCGGGGTCAACCAATCAACTGGAAAGAAATGCATGGAAATCATCTGAGCACTGTCGCGCTCTGTGCGAAGAGCAGACGGACTGCATGCAATTCTCATTTGATGTGGGGACATGTGCAATCTCGACGACATTCAAGCTAGGCTTTGCAAAGCCGAACGCAAGAATCAAAAGCGGATGGATGCTGGATCGTGTCGACGATCTATTCCGGCATCTTGAAGACCGCTGCAGCCTGCGAGATTGGTTTGCGCCCCAGGAAAGCACATTCAACAGTGAGCTCAAGGCCAAGAGGAAGAGGAAAATTTAAGGCGCTACCCTAGCTACTGCTATTAATCGCTTGTCAGCATTACTACTCGAGCTATTTTTGGCAACTTGTCCGAGGCACCTCGGGCATCAACCCAGCATTTATGACCTATTTTGAAAGAGATGATACCCCCCCCCCAGTCAACAAGAACAACACTCGCTTTTCCTAGTGTATTAGATAGACAGTCCAAGGCCGCACAGGGCGAGCCAGCAATTACTTAGAAACTAATAAGAAACCTTTGCTACATTGATTCGTAGATGATATAAAAAGGCTACTCTTGAATCGTACTAGTACATATTTCATCTTGCTTAGATGATTCTCGCCACAACAAACATCAAGACACAAGAAGAGGAAATTCACCAGGACAAGAAACAACAAAGGCGGAGGAGTACCAAGCCGAATACCAGAACACGATAAGAGCTGGAAAAAGGATGAATTAGACCAGACAGAGGCTGCACATGACTCACTTTTCCACCAAATATACTGCCCTAAATTCATCATAAACGATCTCATCCACTATGCAAGATGACCAAGACAAAGAGAGGGGTATGCTATATAGTGATGTGTCCATCTTCATGACTGTATTTCATGGAAAGAGAAGACGAGGCCGGGGTAAAGGAAAATGAAAAGACACAGATGGTGGAGCGTCTTTCGCTCGAGGAAATTCAAGATAAAAGGACAAGAAGGAGAGAGAAAGAGAGAGAGAGACGCGCCTCCCAGAGCATACATACAGCTGTCCACCGCGTTCCCCTTTGTGTTTGACTCTAGTAGTGAGTCGCCAAGTAGATTATTAATGCATGGTTTGTAAAATAGAAAAAAAAAACGAAACAAAGCGCAGAGTCATCATGATCTACAAGGACATCAAGACCTTGATCGCTCTCATATCGCTAGTGCCGTAGCCGTGCTGTCGTGTTTGTGCTCCATGTTGTGGTCGCTGCTGTCTGCATACGCCAAGAGGGCTTTGGCATCATCGAGTCCTGATATTGCAAGACCTTTTTCATCTTCTTCATGTATGGTGCTGTCTTGAAGACTCTCTTTGGAGTATTCACTCTTCCTTTCCGCGTCGACAAAGCTATTCTCAAGGTCCTCGTCCATCAGATTGGGAGGGCGCTGGCGCATGGCGCGAGCCTTCTCAAGCGAGATGGTCTTTTGCTGGTATGTAGTAGTGAAGGGCAAGGCTTCGTCGCGGTCAATTGTCGCTTTCATCAAGGCTGCCATCCACAATCGTCCTACTGCGAGGCTGTCGACTGCGAAATAATGCACAATGGGCTTGGTGAATTGCACACCCTTTTGCAAACCAGCACGAGGTGGCACAAGCTTGAAGATGAACATGCCTGCCATATCGCTCTCTACACCTGGAATACCTTTTGCGCTATCTGCTGAGGCCGTTGTTTGAATGGTGGCATTTTGAGGTGACGTTGGGGATGACGCTGCACCAGTCAAGGATGCATGGAGACCGGTCATTCGCTCGTCGTTGGCTGGCAGGACACGATGCGAGGAGATGTCAATGAGGCCCTTCTCTTCCGTGTCGTTTTCCGTGTAGTAATAGGCAAGGCGTCGGCCGCGCAGTACGAACAAGCGAGTCTTCCACGTGGTCATGAGACTGGAAGATTTTTTCTTCATCCAACCGCTGTAGTCGCAATTTTCCATGGCTTGCTGAGGAGTGATTTGCTGTCGTCCTTTGAGATATGCGCTGGTTCCATGTTTCTTGGCCTTTTTTCGACCTTCTTTAGTGGCGGTGGAGCTGCCGGTGAGGCGCCTGACGGCATCTGTTTTGTCGAGTTCGATGCTCTTTGACAGTGAGTTGCCGGACGGGGTACTGGAGCCGGTTCGTGACGGTGACTGCATCGGAGAATCTTTATGCGGCGCACTGACATCTGCGGCGCTGGCGTTGGCCTTTTCGCCGCCGGTAATTGCATCCGAAATAGCACGCAGGCCCCTAGACTGGGACCCTTTCTTGCTGCTGAAGAAGGACCGAGTATGCGAGGCGGCAGCAGGAGACGGCGATGCGCGGCCATTGCTCGATGTTTCGCTGCCAGCGACACGTGGCGAGTTTGCAATGGCATCGATACTGTGCGAGTCGTATGTGAGCTTGGTGACGGTTGGGTGCATGTCCGTCTGTGGCTTCAAGGGCCGCACAAAGTCAAAGGCTCTGGAGCTGCGCTCGCTTTTAATGCTGGTGCCATAGTACTGTTTCGCGGCGGCAGAGATGGGGCTAGCGGGGCGAAAGGCTGAATCTGCGCTGCCCATCCTGCTGTGGCGGCGGCCGTATGATATGCGCCGCTCAGCTTCTGTACTGTAGCTGGCATTGCGAGAGTGACTGGGGCTGTCTCTCTTACGCAAGACGTTCCTGTTCTTCCGATTGTCAATCTCGCCACCAGAAAAGTAGCCCCTGTCAATCTCTGCAGGGGCCAGGCCGGCTTCTGCAGCGTCAAACGAAGTTCCATTGGTACTCGACGAATGGGTGTGATGCGAAGACGCCGGTCGGCTGGGCACTTGGGCGGCCTTTTGCGAAGAGCCCATTGTCCAGTTGCGGTCAAAAGATGGGGTTTTCCTGTGCGGATGTACCGATGCAGAGCTGGATGCCTTGTTGATGCCATAGGATGCAGTGGACGGGCCTTGGTTGTAGTCAACCGAGGAATGGCGTCTGCCATGGTTCATGCTTCGGACAGACGAGGCGGAGGGACGGACAGGGGACCCCATGGGAGGAGAGGCAGGCGTGTGTTGAATGAGTGGGGATGTGGCATCGTTATTGGACAGGCCGGCAGATGAAGCAGCGCGTGGAGTTTGCTGGCGGCCGGTGCTGCCTCGTGAGCTTATGCTTTCCCTAAGCGTTGGTATGCGGGGAAGGACGGCGCCAGCAGAGGCAGCTCGGTTTCTTCCGCCGTCAATTGGGAATTCGTCGTGGCCCTCGAGAGAGGGCAGGGCCAGAGCAGCCTTGGCAGCTTCCTTTGCGTTCTTGACCTCGGACTGGAGGGCGTTGATCTTCATCCAGGTGCGCAAGCGCGGGCCCATGGGGCCCAAGTCAAACTCTTGCATGAAGATGAAGTTGCGGTCGACTCCTAGCAGGGCCTCGCCGTCGATTTCCTGGTCTCTGAAGACTAGACAGTGCTTCTTCTCCACGCCCACGTCTTCCAGATAGTCGGCGACACGGGCAGGCGACCACGTCTTGACCTCTTCCTCGGTGTGCCAGTTTTGCTCTTCGTCGTCGGTTTCCTGGCCGTTGATGTACGACAGGCGATGGTTGCTGCTGTATTCGCTTCCGGAGTCGTTGGCTCGTAGTTCCTTGGCCACCGAGGCAGCATGCCTGGGCGTGTTCATGCCTGTAATGTGTTCGTCAATGACGCTCAGCGTCTCGTGCATGACTGGGCTGCCCATGGTGTCGTCGTCGGGCGGCGCGTCTCCGCTCAGTGTGGCGCTGATGGTGCGAGAGCCGCTTTGTATCGAGGCTCGTCGGACAACCTCTGGGCCCTGGGCAATGTTCAGCGGCTCTGTCGAGGCGGATTTCAGGGGCGGAGGGGCATTCGAGCATGGCGGTGGGCTGGCGACCGGGGGCTCTGAGATTGCCATGCCGGGCGGGCCAAGTGTGTCTGGAGACGGCACAGACATCTGGGAGGGATTGCGCGAAAGCATAGTGGGGATGGGAGTGCGCTTGGGGGCGGGTCGTGTGTAGACTGGTATTGCATTAGACCATGGACGTCTCACAGGCTCCTACATGCAACGAGGCATAACATGGCATGGCCCATGGTTGAGGCACGGCGCTATGCACGCTTGTGCGGGCAGGGCGGGGAGCAGGACGCACCTTCTGGAAACAGGCCATTTTCGCCTGTCTCGGTGTTCTTGCCCAGGAACCAGCCGTCGCCAAAGTCGTCGTCGCGCTCAATGAGCTCGATGCGGTCGCCGCGCCTCAGGCTCAGCTCGTCGGGGCTGCGGGCGACAAACTCGTCTGTTTGGGGGGGGGGATTTGTGGTCAACACGGCGGTGCAGGGAGGGGTTGGGGCTGGGGGGGAGGGGAGAGACTTACGGACGACGACGAGAGTGTCACCGGGGCGGCAGCCCTCGGTGTGGGAGCGCTGGGCCATGGGTGCGGGTGTTGAGGCGTGGGCGGGGAGGGGCGTGTGTGCAGTGCAGCAGGCAGGCGTGGTGATGGCATGCAGCGGCGGCAGTCACCAGTCAGTGTGGGTGCTTCATGTGGGCATGCTGGACCATTGGGGCTGGGTGGCGGGCAGAGCAGCAGCAGCGGCGGCGGCGGCGGCAGCAGCACAGGCGGGAGGGGAGAAGGGCCGTGGGCGTGGGCGTGGGCGTGGGCGTGGGCGTGGGCGTGGGCGTGGGCGTGGATGCGGATGTCTGCTGCCGTCGCCGTCGAGCGTCTTGTGCCTGTCGCCGCCGCCCATCGCCGCCGCCCATCGTGTCGCTGCCGCTGCCATACAATCAGTCATCGCTACCCCCCTCCCCCTCCCCCTCCCCCCTCCTGTCGCCTGCTGCCCGCCCAGGCAACGGCACCCCCCGAGCTGCCCTGCCTCTGACCTCACCACGTCCACATCCACATCCACATCCCAGCAACAACGACGACGACGACGCGCGCGGGCAGCGAGGAGGGTGGTGGTGGCAGGCGGGCCATGGCCAGCCCGGGACCAAGGCGAGAAAAGCGGCCTTGTCATGTGTGTGGATGCGCGTGCGTCTTGACCAGCCGCGGGTTCCACCGAGACGCCCAGCAACACGCCGGCCGGCCATGATTCGATCCACGGCGCCCAGCAATGGCCGGCGCAGCTCCCATTGCCACGCCCACGCCCGCTTCTCGTCTCGTCGGCCGTCTGGCCTCTCGCGGCGACGGCGACGAGTCTGTGTAGGCGTGGAAACAGCCACCGCCGCAGTCGGCCTCATACGCGCCGTGTCCCTGTTCGCACATGTCTATCTATCTATGTGTATGTATGCATGCAGTACGTAGTATTACCACTACTACCCTCTCGCCCTGCCGCGCCCTTGGTCACTCTCTCACTCTCTCACTCCCCCACCGCTACCCCCCACGTCGCCCCCCGCCTCCACCATGGCTGCTTCCCCTTGTGGCCGTGAGCAAGACGCACCTGCACCCAGCCGTCGCCAGGCAGGAGCGACCGTCGTATCGTCGTCGTCGTCGTCGTCGCCGGGCAGTCGCAACCGAGCGTGCAATGTGAATCCCGCCCTCAGCCGCCCGTCATCGACATCGCCATCGCCATCGCCATCGCCATGCACATGCGCATGCACCTGCACCTGCACCACGCCCCACCCATCCCGCTGAAACAGACCTGAACCCGTCGACGGCGCTGAGCACGGCCTCATCCACGTCCACATGCACATCCACGCCAAACATCGTCTTTGCTCGTCGTCTGCAAACTGCCATGCTCTCGACACGCTATCCGCCGCCCGACCATGCCCTGGCCAGTCTGGGCCCGACGCCAAACAGCTGCATGCCTGTGCCTGCGAGTATCGCCCCATCGCCACCCGTACCTACTTCTTTCCCCCCCCACTACTACTGCTGCTGCTACTACGACTACCTAAACATCCACAGCTCCCTCCTCTCTCTCCCCTCCTCCTCCTCCTCCACCACCACCACCACCTCCACCACAACCCGCCAACCAAGCCACAGGTGATGCCATCGCCACAACAATGGCCAACGCCTTCGCTGTCGATGCATCGGGCCCAGCCCCTGTTCCCAACCATCTAGACTCGATGAACATGGATGCAGCGCGTCACGAGGCTGCTCTGCACCGCTCAACATATGACGGGCCCGCCCAACAAGAGCCACTCGACCAAGTGCACAACACTAGGCAGAGCCAGCCGCTAGCACCGCCAAACAGGACGAGCGCGCCTTTCCCTCTGCTTACACACCCCACAAACGCACCCTCTCTGTACCTTCCATCGCACGCCGTTTCGCACGCCAATGGCCTAATATTAGAACACGGCTACACTCACCCTTACCAGCCTCAGGCCCACGCGCTCCCTGGCCCTCTCCACAACTCGCCTGACACAGCAACTCAACCCAGGCCACTGGCTTGGTACACAGAACAAGACTGCTTGGTGGCCTTGGACAAGTTCGAGGCGTCCCCGTCCCTGTCCTTGTCCCTCAGCCACCCGATGCAAGCAAGGCGACTGGCTGTGCTACGGGCTGCAGTCAAGATACAAGATTGGTTCTATCTTACCCTACACCAGTTTTACTGTATGCTCACCTTCTGTCCTGATTCAGTCCCCCATGGTCTGAGAACCTTGGCAAACTTGCCTGAGGCGTTAGCGCTGCTGAACAGCGTTCTTGGTCCTAACCGCACGCTGCCTCCTGCCACGCTGCGCTTCTTCTCTGATTACCCCTACCCCATGCAAACCATCTGTCAGGCATGGGGTCCCATGTTTGAGCAACAGTGTCATGCACTCCGCATGTTTGTATCCCGATCCCATAACCATCAAGTGTGGAGGAAGATGTGTGAGCACAATCGTCAACCGCCACTTGCATCAGAAATTGCCATGGCACTCGGCATCCCCTCGTTCACCTTGCAGCGCCTGGTCTTCACGGCTTTGATACGCTATATCTGGCGCGCCGTTCCCCAGCATATCTTGCAGTCGGGCTTTGAGCATCAGGCACTTTCCATATTCACTCAGCATCAGGTCGATTATTACCACGAACACCATGCATTCTATCGCTCGAAGCTGCAACTCCTTGTTGAAGAATTTGAGAAAGGTCTTCGTCAGCAGAGATTCACTCTGAAGAGCTCTGTTCAATCTCGTCGATATTCGCCACCTCCCCCAGTGACAGCACCAGCACCTGCACCAGCACCTGCACCTGCACCGGCACCAGCACCGGCACCGGCACCAGCACTCGTTCAGCCCCAGCGAAAGCCGCAAGCACAGTTACTTCCCCCGTCGGGCTGGGTACACCCACAATCGCGCGTGCCCAACCCTGCCAGGTACGCTCTCCATCAGGCCCATCTACGAAGCCCTGTCCTCTGCGCGGAATCCATTTCATCCCATCTTTATACATTCCCCAAGGGGTATATCAAATGCCCCACGCGGCTTTCGGAACCCGGCCGTTCAATTGAAACATGGAACTTTACTATCCCTCCCAATGGCCTGCAACCATTCTCACAGACTGTCGGCGAAACAGTGAGCGGCCCCGGCACTAGGAAGATCAACGAATTGACCAACACCGCTCGCCTACGCTGTGTCAAATGGAAACACGACGAACCAGCGCCAGCCGAGCATGTTTGGACAACCACGGACACGTCATGGATACCGTACTCGTATTTTAGCCTCAACGACGTCCCTCTCCAGAAACGCGACAAGGCCCATTATGGCAAGGATCTACCAATCGACATCACCGACTTGCTGAGGGAGGGTGAGAACATGCTCGACATAGCAGTCATGGCTCAACACGGCGACACATCACATTTCGACTATCTCATCGCCATTGAAGTAATCCATGTTGCCTCGCGCGACTCTTTGGAAAAGCACCATCTGCATCACAACCGTGTCTCAGCTGACGAGGTTCTGCAAAACATCAAGAACAAACTATCCATTTCGAGCCACGACGATGAAATTCGTATCATCCAAAGCAACATCGTCATTGGTCTACGCGATCCCTTTAGCCAAGCAAAAATGTGCGACATACCGGTGCGAGGCAAGGCGTGTCCGCACAATGACTGCTTCGACTTTGATGTGTTTTTGCGGTCGCGCCCGCGCAAAGGCGATGCATCGGTGGCTGATCAGTGGAAGTGTCCCATTTGCGGCTCCGACGCTCGACCGCACATGCTTTTGTTTGATGGCTTCATCGACAATGTAAGGAAACAGCTCGAGGCACAAGGCCTGGCCGACACGCGACAAATTGTCGTGCAGCAGGATGGATCTTGGGCACCAAAAGCAGACCCAAAAGCAGACGCCAAAGATGGTGTGCCTGTTCGTGGGGATGCCCATGGCCCCTCGGGCTCTGATTTTGCATGTCTATCTATACCTGCCGAGGTGGAAGTCATCGATCTTAGTAATTGAAAAGACATGGAGCCAAAGTCGGCTGACCTTTTCATTCTTCTCTTTATTTTCTGCCATCTGTTTACCAGAGAGTTTCTCTTATCCGGTTGTGGTGTGCTCGCGCGTCACCATGACATACTCACGGTTCCTGGTAATATAGTTGGGTCACGGTCTAGTGGAGTTTGCGGCAGTGATACCCCCTGAATTCTGCTTTTTCTTCTTCTTCTAGAGTCTTCCTACGTCATCATGTATATCTTTGCGCGTGCAGAATCACACCATTCCAACAAGACAGTGGACGAATTTACAAGCACTCGGATGATGCGACTTTTCCGAACTTGTCATCTTGTCACCATGCTTCAGGAGTGAAAAGTCTATTGTCAAAGATTATTGATTACATGTCTATTTGGCTTGCGCATACATTTCCTCTATGTCATAAAATGGTTTGCCCTTTGTGGGCGCCTATGCTGAAGCAAGTAGGTCGGGTCCGTGTCGCCATTTGGGTAGAACCTGGAGTGTTTCCTGCCACTCTTTCTCTCTCCCTCTCTCCCTCATGCCGTCAACATTGTTTCGTTCAGACCATACGTCTCCAAGTCGTGGCAACTCGGCAAACGCCCGCTACATGCAACTTCCCTCAGCAGACTGGGTCCTCGGCCCAAATCGGCCCGGCTACCCAAGACGACACATGCAGCTTCCTCGAGCTTCTTGGCAAGCAGCTGCCACGCCCGTCCATGGCCCGTTGCACCGTCGCACGCCTGGTGCATGGAACAGGAGCGACACGAATAGGCCTTGAGAAAGGCATGGCACATCTCGTGAATCATGGTGCCGAGGCGGTTGTGCAAGCGCAGCATGTCCGGGTGGTGGCTGGGCGTGCCGTTGCCACGGTACAGGGTCGGGTGGATGAGAATCTGTGTGCCGATCAACGGGTTGAACAGACTCTTGCCAAAGCAGTCCCTTTGCTGCTCGGGAAGGTACGAGAAGCCTGTCGTCAGGGTTGCATTGTGCGGCGGAATGCAGTCGGAGAAGAAGACGCGGTTCAAATGCCCAAACAGGGCGCTCATCTGGCCAACGGATAGCGTGCGGCGCATGTCGAGACCGGTGAGTTGCGGGTGCCACGCCTTGACGAGGCTGCGCAGCTGATGGACCGCCGGCGTCAGGTGCGCCGAAGGGTGTAGGTAGGTCGCGTCCAGCCATGCCATGTGATGTCGTACCAGTGCCATGGCTTCATAGTCGCCACAAAAGCGCAGCTTGAGGTACGAGCCGGGACTGACATGGCTTGGCTGCTTCTGGTACGAGAAGCCTTTGGAGCGTCCGGATCGATTGCTGTTGTTGGTCTGGTTCTTCTTTTGTCCATCTTTGATGATGCCGTGGGACTTGGTCGTGCTGATCTTGTACAGCTTGGGCGCGCACTCATCACATTCGCATGGTACGTCTGCTTCCTGCACTTCTCTCCTCAGCTCATCGAGGCTTCGTGGAGCGTCGGTAGTCTCCGTCTTTGGTGGCGGCGGACTTGTTCGCAGGATGCGGTCTTGGACAAACGCGAGCTTGGGATCCAGCGAAATGAGTGGCTCGAGAAAGGGAAGAAGCATGTGCCATTTCGAAGGGCCATAGCAAATGTTGCCTTGCTCGTGGTCACGTATTTGCTGTCTGGTGCTGGGTGTCCTTGGGTTGCCAAGAACAAGCCTGGCAATTCGCCGAAGGGGATGAAGCCGTCTCCTCTTTTTTGCCGTCGGTACAGCGGCCGAGGTAGTAGCCTGGATCGGAGGATTCCCCATGGGGCTGATTGATTATTGGAATCCGACGTATGATAGGGACTTGACATGGAGGGAGGAAGAAAATAACACGGGAATTTTTTTTCCCAGGGGCGCGGGTCCGTGATAGCCGTTAGGCATGGCCCCCGAGCAACAAGGCGGTCAAGAAGTGAGATTGAAGGGCCCGGGCGGCTGTCATCTGGTTGGGCAACATTGTGATGCACGCCATCCGGTGTGTGCACAGACTTGGAGGGCGGTCAAGGGTTAAGACGAGGATTGGCAGGTCTTGCGGTAGCAAAACGACCGGCTCTACGGAGGTGGCTTTCAAAAGTTCTTGCTAACAGGGGTTCCTTAATTACCGCCGAAAATACCGCCTAAGACTATAAATCATAAGTACTAAGTTTGTAGATAGAAGCCCTTGCTTAATAGAATAGTTTAGAAAATGTATTAGCTGTTAAAGAATACACTTATAGTAATATGCTAACTCTATCAAGATATATTATCTACACGCTAAAATGATAATAGAAAGTGTATTAAGGGAATTTGGTCCGATAGATCCGCGCCTGAGCAAGAACTTTTGACAGTCACCTCCGTAGCGACAGCCATGGTCAAGGTTTGCATGGGGGCATCTTGCAATTGGATTTTGCACGCACACACACACATGTGCAGGCGACGTCTTCCTTGGCCAAAAGTCGCCATGCTATAATGTACACACGTGTCAAGCGTACAGTAGACATGACTCTCGGCACTCTTGCCCCTTATTCTTTCAGGTTGGGTAACCACAGACGGCTAGTAGAGTGGCTGTCCATCTGGGCAAGGCGACGCCACGTGGCGCTGCCGGGGGTGTGCGCGCGCACAACGCTTCCAGGGTCTGATGGCCAGTGCTCGACACGTTGCGCACGTGCATCCGGTGCCGCGGCTTCTTTCCGACTTGGTAAGGGCAACTCGGGTGACGCGCTTGAGATCCGGCTCCTTGGTGTAGGGAGCTGTACATGCCTTGTCAGGGCCTCTCTCGTCCTCGTTGGAAATCAATCGTTGAATGACGTGAAAGGGAGCAAAGGTACAGTGCTGCCATCTGCATATCCCCCCCCCAAGCTTCGGAGCTTTGTCGGGGCAAGGCCCATCTCACCAAGCAGAGACACCGAAGCTCTCCGACGAGCCAAGACTCTGCCTAAACGCTGACAGATTCTTTTTTTTGCTCTGAGGCATGCCTTTCGTAAATTGCGATACACATATGAGCTCTGACAGTGGCATAGTGGGATGCTTTCTGGATGGATGGATGGATGGATGGATGGATGGATGGCCTTTGGCGGTTTAGTGGCACTTTTGGACTCGACGCCATGTGGAATGGCTTTGGCCGACGACAAATGAAAGGCTGCGACACGGCGAACATGACAGGCAGTGAGAAGAGGACGACGCCACTCTCTGCCTGCGGAGACCCGACCGGATGGGTCGCCAGGCTCAATCCAATCGTGAAGGCTGGGTGAGACGGGGACTACCAAGAAGGATCTACGGCGATCTGCTGCACCAGGTTTGAAGTGTCAGAAGACAGCCTTTCTCGTTGCAGATCTTCCGCGTTGTAGCAGATAACTCAAACTCGATTGGGATGATGAGACGGTGTGCGCCAGCATGCTCATCTCGATAAAAGGTCCCTGAATATACACCTAGACGAGTGCGGCAGGCCCAGGCTGGTGGACTAGTCTTTGAGTTTTCCAGGCATCAAAGGCATCAAGTTAGAGACTAGCATGTGTAAGCACGAACAAAGAGCGGATAAGCACACGGATGGACGAGAACCCAAGGGGCCTGGCGGCACGGGTGTTGAGGATACTGGTCAGAGCGCAAGGCGAACAAGCAGCAGCGGCCAAAAGGGCAAAGCTTTTGATATTGCAAGCAGGTTGATGCATTGAGTAAAGTTTGGAACCAAGGCTCGTCTGGCAAGTAAGTAGGTGTAGGGAAGCTGACTGTATGTAATACACAGTATTACTGTCGGGATGGTGGTCATGGGCGACGGGGAAGGCGGAATAGGAGCAGGCACAGGTGAAGCACGAACGAGAGTTCCGGCGACTGCCTGAAACAGAAGTGGCCATCGGGGTGGTTTTGCAGGCGGCGGCCAATGAGCAGGCGTGCAGGGGCGTGCAGGGGCGTGCAGGGGCGTGCAGGGGCGGGGCGGCGGGTCAGGCTGTGGCTCTGGTGGCAGTCAGCCACTCGAGCAGCGAGCAGCGAGCAGGAGCGGACATGGGCGGCGATCCGCCAAGCGCGCTAGCAGGGATGCTCACAGGCTGCATGTGGGGGCGGGCCTCGCTCGTGGCGGGCAACATCAAGCCAGATAGGTCCGAAAGGACGCAGTGGTTCGCATGTAACGTCGAGGGCAATGTGACCCAAGACTTTTTAGCGGCGTGGATGAGGCAGACGCGCCGCGACGCCGGATATTGGACATGGGCAACCCTACACACCGGCGGCGAGGGAAATACGGGAGGAGATAGGGGCCCTGGGCTGGGCTCACGGCCGTGCAGCCCAGAGCAGCTCAACGCCCACGGACCCTGGACGCGCTCCTCATGCCAGCCGAGCGGTGGCGTTGGCGCGTCGCAGTGGCAGTGGCAGTGTGCACACGGCGCATGTAGCCGTACATCGGGCTACTATCGACACACGGCAGCAGCACTACTCGTACGTGTAGAGCCATGGCAGAGGAAAGAAAGCGTCATGTGCAGCGCCAAGTGGCTAGCAGTGCCGATCGGCGTGGGAGCCAGTGTTGCGCCATTGCCAGGACCATGGGAATAGCTGCGGCTGCTGGCCAGCCCGCCGGTGATTCGACGGCTGGCGGGGCCACGTTGCCGGGAATATGCTGCAGACGGCGCATATCCATCGACACGCATCCATAGCTGTGTGGACGCGGCGAAAAGGCTCGGCAGCCCGTCGGTGGCGGCAGAGAGCGAGACAAAGACAGCAGTCGCAGCGTGGGCGTGCCTTTGTTTCCACCGGCCTCTGCCACGCAATCAAACCGGGGATGCGGTCGGGCCACAGGGATAGCCTTTCAGGGGATGCGAGCAGAGGGACCAAGGAGACCGTAGCAGCAGCAGCAGTGGCAGCGTCTCGCCTCGCCGCGCCCTAGCGCCATCGCCATTGCCCTGCATGCAGTGCGCCTTATAGCATCCTTTGCCGCCGCGGCCTAACTATGTACACACCCACAACCACACCCGCACCCACACACACCCATCTATGCAATACAACACAATCCAATACATACATACATCGCGAACCCCGCCGCCCGGTGCCGACCTGACCTGACCTGCCCTGCCCTGTCCTGCCCTCCCCTCCCACACACGCGCCCAGCATGGCTGCCATCATGTTCCGCGACTTTTCCTTTGCTCCCGTCCTGCGCCCCGCCTACGCTCTCTACGAGGCCGAGCGCGCCGCCATGAACGTGTCGCCCACGTCAAAGGCACTGCCGCCCGTCTATGACGCCCTTCGCCCGCCCACGCCGCCCTGCACCATGGGAGACCTCGCCCTCCAGCTCAACCAGCAGAGCCTGCGCATCAACACCGCCCTCGCCGCCTATCCCGCTCGCCCCCCGACGCCAGAAAGCGACCACGAACAAGGCCCCTCGCACCGCACACACCAAGGCCGCCCCACCTACTCGCGCATTGCCACCTCGGTCCTCCGCATGCAGCGTCAACACAACTCGCGCATGCAGTGCACCTCTTCACACGCCCGCGACATTGCCAAGCTCGTTAAGATGATTGAGCATGAACAGCAGTGCACCGTCAGCGACCCGTCGCCAGCCACCAAGTCGCCCGCATCACCATCACCATCACCATCACCAGCACCATCATCATCATCATCACCACCAGCACCACCTTCGGCACGTGCACGCGCCCGCCCGTCGGGCCATGACGAGGGCGTCGACATGGACTACGACATGCCCTCCAAGGCCATCGACGCCATGGTCGCCACCCCAGCCTGGAGAGCGGCCGACCGCCGTGATAGCTGCGCTCGCGTGACCAAGTCGGTGCGCATGCGCAAGCGGTCTCGAGAAAACGCCCTGAGCAAGAGGCTGTCTTCTTAATTGGCACCATACCCTGCACTTGATTACATGCATAGCGAAGGCGTTTTGGTTTTTCATTCTCGGCGCAATATACCACTCTGATTCTTCACGCCGGAACCATGGTCAGCAACACATCCAACATGGCCGGAACACTTTCTTTTTTCTTTGATACACGTTATCATCATAGGGCACATATCTGTTTCCAGCGCGGAAACGCTCCCTGCGGGTTGAGCCTGGCGTTGTAGGGTGCGATGAGCTTAGTGCTCTCGCTACATTCTTATTCTGCATTATCAATACAAGTACATTTTCTTGCAAGACGCCTTGTTATCTTATCATGACGTACTCATGTGACCCCCAGCCCTGCGTTGCCCACGTGATGTCCATGTTGCGAACCTGAGTCGTGGTAAATTCAGGGCCCACTTTTGCGCCATTGCTGATCTCGAACAACCTCTTACTCGTTCTACCACCACCATCACCACCATCACCGCCGCCGCCGCCGCAATGTCTCTCCAGCGAGCACTAGTCCCTCGCTCAGTCCACATCCGCATCATACCGCGCCCGGCCAATCTTTCTGAGAGTCGCGAGATCTATCGGGTGCTGCAGAAATTTGGCGAAATCAACGTATTCAAGTATCTACGGGTAAGCTCTCTTCTGCCTGGTTGGCTGGTCACGGCTCGGCGCGTGGTTACCTTACGAACAAGTGGAACCTGACCTTTGCCCAGTACGAATATCAAAACCCGGCAGATAATGTCGCTCTCGCCATCTTTCGCGATGCGACGTCCGCCCAGCGCGCGCTCGACGCCTCCCCCATCCGCTTCGCCTTGGAAAAGACTGTGCCACTCACCCCCGAATCGCACGAAAATGTCTCTTCAGACCAAGAAGATTTGGATCAGGACAATACTTTCGCGCAGGACACGCCACCCAAGGAGGGCATTGACGAGATGCTCAGCCCCTCACAACTCGTGAACCGTTCCTTGCGAGAGGCTCCCAGTACCAAGCCTTCACCCAAACCAACCCCAATGCCCTTTGAGGCAGCAACCAGTCCTGCCAAACAACATCAGCAAATCAGGTGGTTCCAAGTCACGCTTGATCGTTCGCGTACTGTGCATCAAGATTATGTCGAGCGCCAACCGTTCTGGAAGCAATTCAGCCCGATGAAGAGCATGGCACAGGAAGACCTGGCCAAGACGGTGCCACACATAGGATTGAGCGATATCAGCAAAAGACCACCCAATGCGCATCGGACGCCGAATCGCGTGCTTGGCATCATGCACGATTACGTCGAGAACAAGTTGCCGACATTGCGTAGAATGGTTGAGGGGCATGCCGTGGAAAGAGGGTTTGAGCAACGAATTAGAAATCGACAATGAGTAGGGAGGGCTCATTGCCACACGCCCGTATCGGCCTAGTTCTCTATGTGTGCGGCTACGCCGCCACGTGGCTGGAGAAATGGACGTCTCCCAGACAAGGCATGCGGTACTAGGTGTATGTACTGGATCCCAATCGCTAGTCTCGTGACTGCAGACTGGCATGGTCTAGGTCTGAGCGGTATGCGGGATTTCAGCACCAACCCGGCAACCGTTTCAACAATACCTAGTTCAACAAGTCGAGACAGCGTCAATGCATGTATTGACTGGCTTGACGTCTCGCCCGCACGTCGCAACCACTCGTACGACCAATAGTAATATGTGCGGAAGATTTGCCATGGACGTGCCGACGTGGGGGTGTTGGGCAGAAAAGTCCATGGTGCAAAATGCCAAAGACATGGCGCACAAGGATGATACAGTAGACAGCCGGATGGCAGGGCCGGGTGTAGGTGTACTGTAGGCGTACCAGTGCATAGTGTGGTGTTATGCAGAGAGCACAGGCAGGCCAAATGCATACTCCTTTTGGCTCCATCAAACAGGCTCGTCCCTCTGGGCGTCGCACGGCAATCTCGGCCTGGGAAGCGTGGCGCACGTCTGGCAGGGCGGAGCAGGTGGCGCATATTAGCACCGCAGCGCGCGGCGCCCGAAAGAGTATAGTGCAAGGTGTCTGGCGTTTCACAGCGTCTTGGCTCCCGCCCTGGCGCAAAGCCTTCGCCGCTCGCAGACAGCCTTCGACGGCGTCGGGGCGCGTCGCGGAGGCAGAGCGTGTCCAGCTCTCTGCAGCACCCACCGGCAATGCACTTGTGCTGGACACACACAAAAAAAAAGAACAGTCGAGCATCCGTCTCCCCAGCCCTCCAGCCATGCACAAGAGGCGCGCCGCCGCCTATGCTGCGCGATCGACAAGCGCTGTTTGTAGTTTGACGTCGGCTGGCCAATGGCCATCTCTCGAGTGCATACCCGCACTAGACAACTCCTTAAATCTTGCAAGGCTGCACCCCCATTCGCCCTTCACCCACCGAATCTCAAAACGCGGTTCTGACGCTCCCTTGGACCGATTACCCCCCCTCGTTTTCCTTTTTTCTTTCCCTCGCTCCCCTTCTTCTCCCTGCGAGAGTCCGCTCATTCACCACTCCAAGCACACCCCAGTCGTTCATTGATACAAACACCACCAACAGCGCGCGTCTGGTCTACGCGCGATACCACACTCCTTAGGTGTATAGCTCCGCATACGATAGTCGCAGACATGAGGTTCTTCCCTGTTTCTGCGGCCGCCCTCATTGCTGGCCTCGTGTCGACAACGGTGGCCCAGACGCACACGGACTGTATGTGGGGGTTCTAGCAAGATACTTGTGGTATATATCTGTGCTAACGTGCAAAGGTAACCCGCTCAACACGACAGGATGTCCCGACATGGAGGCGCTTGGCGGCAACGTGACGTTCAACTGGAACAAGACGGGTATCCCCCAGGACGGCAAGATCTGGAAGTTGCCCAACCAGGGCAAAATCGATTGGGTTGAAAAGGGCGCTACTTTCACCATTGAACGATCGGGCGACTCTCCCACAGCCAACTCCGTCTTCTACATGCTCTTCGGGCGCGTCGAGATCTTTATGAAGGTGGCTACCGGCACTGGAATCATCTCGAGCGCCATTCTGCAGTCCGAGGCACTCGACGAGATTGACTGGGAGTTCCGCGGCGACAACAAAACGATCCTCACAAACTATTTCGGTAAGGGAGACACGTCGTCTTATGACCGTGGCAAAGACTTTGAGCTCGATTTCTCGCCCCAGGACGACTTCCACAACTACACAATCGACTGGACCAAGGACCGCATCGAGTGGTGGGTTGACGGCCAGAAGATCAGAACACTTACGCCCGACGAGGCCCAGGGAGGCAAACGCTACCCCCAGACGCCCATGAACATCCGCCTGGGTTCATGGGCTGCCGGTGATCCCAAGAAAAACGACCCCGGTGTCGTTGAATGGGCTGGTGGCGTCACCAACTTTGACCACGGCCCATACACAATGACCATCCAGTCTGTATACGCCCAAGACTACACGAGTGCTGCCAAGTACTCATGGGAGAACATGGACTCTACTGGCGACTGGCAAAAGGTCAAGGTTATCGAGTACGTATTTTCTTTTTCTTTTTTTGCTTCCTTTTCTGTTCGTCCCTCTTTGCTTTCTCGACTCGTAAGCTAACAAACAACAGGGGAAAGTCTGAAGTGCTTGAGGAGATTGAGTCACCGCACGGCGTCAGGAACCGATTCCACGCTCTATCCCCTGGTGCCAAGGCTGGCATCGTCATTGGTGTTCTTTCAGCAGTTGCCATTGGGGCACTTGGCTTGCTGTTCTATTGCATCAAGCAGCGCCGCCAAGGCAAGAGGGAGCACCAGGCTCTCCTTGCTGAGGAACAGAAAGAGACGGCGGAGTTGAACGAGTACAGGTCCCAAATGGACGCTGGCCGATTCGCCGTTGGGAGCCGTCACGCCTAGAAGTCTAGAAGCTAAGGGAATGGCGCCTAGTTGAGAGTTGCAGTTTGTACAGTCTGTATTCTGTAATAGTATGGGTTTTCTTTGCGGCCAGTGGCCTGCAGCGTCTGTTTGCGATGCTGCCGTTTCCTTGTAATGTACTTGTCACGGTTTGTTGCTTCAGGTGTGCACATACCTACATACACACGTAGACACAATTATACCCTTGGTGTTTTGCTGCCTGAGGCCGTAGCCAGCCTCGCCTTGTTCTTGTGCAATGTCCAAGTATGCAGTGGTAGTATGTAGATGCACTATGACGCAAGGTGATGATGATGCCGAGGCCGGCCTTGACATGTGACGCATGATGCGCCGGACGAGGGGCAGCAGCGCGGCCTGCGCCGGCTAACGTCTAGCTGCCTCGGTATGTGTACCCGCGACCCGCGACCACCCAGACTATGTATTATGGGTTATGTAGCTAGCCGAGCAATGGCAATGCAACTACTCATTGCGAAACTTCTTCTCCCATCACCAGTCTCGCCATGGCCGCCATCTCACGATCTCTCAGACCGCTAACCCGCGTTGCTGCTGCCTCGTCGCGTTCGCTGCGGCCAGCTGCTCGCCCCGCCCTGCAGTATGTGTGCACTACCCTGGGTGATGAAGATGGAGAAGATGAAAAAAAATACAACACGGAGAAAGGGATGAAAAAAAAGAGTCAAGACAAGAAGAGAAAAGAAACACAAGCAAGGCTAACGTGTGACGGTCTACCAGAACCCGGTGCCTCTCTGCGACGCCTGCCCGACGAGAAGCCGTCGACATATCAGATGTACCGCCGACGCCTATCACGCACCTCTCTGAGACGGAGATGCTCATGAGCGACTCGGTGTCCAAGTTTGCCAATGACGTGGTGCTGCCCAAGGTGCGGGAGATGGACGAGGCCGAGGCCATGGACCCCGCAATCGTAGAGCAGTTGTTCGAGCAGGGGCTCATGGGCATCGAGATCCCCGAGGCGTACGGCGGCTCCGGCATGAACTTCACATCGGCCATCATCGCCATTGAGGAGCTCGCGCGCGTGGATCCCAGCGTGAGTGTCCTGTGCGACGTGCATAATACGCTCGTCAACACGGCCATTGCAAGGTGGGGCTCGGAGAAGCTCAAGAAGGAGTGGCTGCCAAAGCTGGCAACCAACACGGTCGGCTCCTTTGGCCTGTCGGAGCCCGTCTCTGGGTCCGACGCCTTTGCGCTGGCAACAAAGGCCACGCGGACAGACAACGGATACAAGATAAGTGGGAGCAAGATGTGGATTACCAACAGCATTGAGGCAGACTTGTTCATCGTCTTCGCCAACCTCGACCCCAGCAGGAAGTACAAGGGAATCACTGCGTTTGTTGTCGAGAAGGGCATGCCTGGCTTCTCCATTGCCAAGAAGGAGAAGAAGCTGGGCATCAAGGCCAGCAGCACCTGCGTCATCAACTTTGACGACGTGGAGATTCCCAAGGACAATTTGCTGGGCAACGAGTTTGAGGGCTACAAGTATGCCATAGCGACGCTCAATGAGGGTCGCGTTGGCATTGCAGCGCAGATGACGGGTCTGGCGCTGGGGGCGTGGGAGAACGCGGCAGGGTAAGTGTAGCACTTGGGCTCAAAACATGCACGATAGGGCAAGGGGCTAACGAGTGCAGCTACGTATGGAACGACCGCAAGCAGTTTGGTAAACTCATTGGCGAGTTCCAGGGGATGCAGCACCAGCTCGCCCAAGCGTGGACCGACATCCAAGCCGCGCGTGCTCTTGTCTACAACGCAGCGCGCAAGAAGGAGGCGGGCGAGGACTTTATCATGGACGCGGCCATGGCCAAGCTCATGGCAGCGCAGGTCGCTGGACGCGTGTCTGGGCAAGCAATCGAGTGGATGGGCGGCATGGGCTTTGTGAGAGAGGGTCTGGCCGAGAAGTACTTTAGGGACAGCAAGATTGGCGCCATCTATGAAGGAACCAGCAACATCCAGCTGACGACCATTGCCAAGCAGCTGCAAAAGAAGTATACGAAATAGACCAGTGGCACTATGCCCCAAGATGTACAGCAGATGAAATGACGAACCAGTATACACAACAAGTTGCACGAGTATTACGCCCGAGGACGCAGACCACTTGAAAGGAAGACGCAGAAAAAGGAATAGGAAAAGGAAAAGAAAAAGAAAGGGAAAATAGTACATAAATGGTACCACGATGACCATTCGACTGCGTTATCTTGATTGGCAGCGTGCAGCGGCAATGGACTAGGGACACAGCTCGCGGGCTCGCTTGCGGCATTGGTAGCGCCTAGTGCGGCCGGGCGCATAATAACTAGTAGATAGAGACGCAGATAGGTACATGCATGTGAAGATGATGACGACTCTGGCCGATTGCAATTGCGTCTAGACATGGATGGCGGGCATGATGGAGGGTGTCGGCAGCTGTGGCAGTCATGGCCATGTGGCTGAGGTGAGCGAAGCATAGCAATAGCAGTGCTGTAGCAGTAGCAGTAGCAGTAGCAGTAGCAGTAGCAGTAGCGAGGGCGAGAACAAGGACGAGGACGAGGAGCAGGCCATGACATCTCCCCACCCTCGGCCCACCACTACCACCCACCACCACCACCACCACCACCACCATCGCGACGCCAACACCGTCCAGGCCTACCCATGCAACGTGGAGCGCGCCAACGCTCGTGTCCGGAAAATATCGCAAGGAACCATGGTCTCTTCCCTGGCCGCCCCCGAAGCTTCCATGTCTCGATGATTTCATCTGGCGTGAACGGCTGTCGCACATAGTCTCTCCCGGGTCCTTTCGGCTGGACACTGCCTGCACCTGGCTCGTCGCCCTCGTCGCCTGTATCCATCATGTCATCCTCTGTAATTTGCTTCTTTCACATGCTCAACAGACGATTCAAATCACACACTCGCACTCCTGCTCCCTTCCCTTCCCTTCCTCAGTCCCGCTTCTCGCGTGACGGCGGCCCACACACCACACCACACCACACTACCTCTTTAACCCGTTCCGTCGCAGGCTCTCCATGCAAACGCCTTCGGGCGACCGGAGTAGTTCGGTCCCTCAGCCACAATGGATGCTGACTCTCGAAGCCCATCTGGCGTAATTTGCATCTTGATCACCCCATGGTCACGTAGCCATCGCCCGCCATGGCGTCCGGTTCCCAGGCCAAGGCCCACGACTCCTCAAGTCCCAGCCGCCTGCATTCGGGCCTGGAGAGCTTTTTGCCTGCAAACATCCTCGAACTCCACCGATGCGCTGGCAGTCTTCCCAAAGCGAACAAGCCAAACTCGTCTCCACGCCCGCGGCCTTCTGCTACCCCACAGACCAGCGTGTCACCATCTGTATCGTCCATGTCGAGCAGCTTCATGCTGGAACACCGGGGCTACACATCCCCCAACGCTGCACGGTCTGAACACGATGGGGAACATGCCGGAACCCCACGCCCCAACGACGAGGGGGCTCCCGCCGTAATAGCTAATTGGGCCCATCTTTCCTACCTCAAGGCCCAGCGTAGCACGCTTCGTGCTGAACTGAAGGCCCATGAAATCGCAGGCGCTGAGGCAAAACGGTCAGTGACATCATTGCGGCGCCTCGCCTTTCGCATGGCAGTCAACATATCCGTCAAGGAGAAACAGATTGCGACCACCGCCCGAAACCTTGCCAAGAGCAGAACAAGCCGTTATCTAGAAAGCAGAGATGCACACAAAAGAGTCGAGCAGCTGCAGAGGGCACTGTGTCTTGAGGAGAGTCGCAACAAGGATATTCTTGAAGCACTCGAGCGGGCTTCCACGTTGACGCTTCAGTGTAAACAATAATAACAGCCCCTGGCACTTTGAGCATTGCTAATCAGCCCCTATAGACGCGACTCCAAGCCAAAAATCTCGACATGTCTCCGAAAGCAGTTTTCCTTCTCCTCCTCCCTCCCCACCAACGCGTTCGAGTGTTCCTAATAGTCCCATTGGTTCCCTGGGGACCCTGCAGCCGCTATCACCGTCTCCATGGCACCATGTTCATCTCGAGCTTGCCCCGCCCCATGTAAGCCCACCCGAAACACGCATGTCTGACAGCCGCTTGATACGGGCCAAGCGTGAATCAGATCGAGCCCTTGCTACGTGTCGGAGCCGCATCGAACAACTACAACGTGAGTGTGCCGTAAGTAGAGAAGATGGTACACTCTTAGCAATGGCAAGAGACGACCTGGAGCAGAAGATACGGAATCAACAAACCCAAATTACTTCTCTGGAATACTTAAGAAAGAGGTCACAGGAGGAATTAGAGACCACTAAACCGAAGCTGCATAAAGCATGCAATTCTGAAGAAAGGTTGCAGCTGGCGCTCCAGGAGAAGACTGAAGAGCTTGCTGGATGGGAAAAGAAGAGTGCAGACATGCAGCACACAATTGATGTACTAGAGCAGGAGAAGATTGTCCTTGAAGAGCGGGTCCGAATACAAAGCACCCAACTTGAAGAGCTCGAAATCCGTACCCAGACTCTGGAGAAAACGATGTGCGTTTTGCGCAGTGAGCTCGAGACAACCAAGCAGCATGAATCAACGCTCCAAGACCGTCTTGCAGAGAAGGGTCACGCTTATGATGACCTGAGAGAACAACATGATCGAAATCTGAAGAACCTCCGCATTCTTGAGCAAAAGATGACCACACGTGACGTCGAAGCTGCAGAGCATCTCCGCAAAATCGAGATTGGCGGGAACGTTATCAGTACGCTGCGAGAACAGCTTCTGGTCTCACAAACTGCGACAAAGGATGCTCAGAAAGCTTCGGCAGATATCAACAAGACGGTGGAGATTCTGGAGAAGAAATTGCAGATTGAATCTGACGAACGTGCTGGCCTGGCCAGTGAACTGCAGCATGCGCAGATTGAGAAGACCAAATTAGAAAACAAGCTACTTAACACGGCTGCCCTCCTCGAACAAGAATTGAGAACAAAGGCAGCACTTCAAGGCAACTTGGGCGGCCTACGTAGATCTTTTGACGCCACAGAAGCCAACCTTCAGCAAGCTCGCGAGCATGTTGATTCGTTGCAGGAAGCTGATAGGATTACTCGAACTAAATTGGAAACACTACGATATGAGAAAACGACGCTCGAGGTCGATCTCAAGGATATAGGGGGGCTCTTGGTAAAGCTTCGAAAGGACGTTCAGGTGAAGGACACCGAGCTTGCTAGGGTGAAATCTGCAAACACAGAATTACAGGAGAAACTCCGGGGTGCAGAAGAGCAAACAAATTCTGCAAAGAAAGAACTGGAGCATATGCACAATCTGAAGCGGGAAAACGATGACCGTCATATGGTGGAGATGCAAAAGAGCGACGAACATCTTCGCTCACTCGAAACCTCGATCCTGGGTCTTCGCTCTATTGTGGATTCATCGGAAAAGCTCCAAGCATCCCTTTGTGAAGAGCTTACCCGTGTTCAAAGCTCTACGGCTGCAGTTGGAGTCGAGCTGGAAGAGGCGCGTCGATCAAAAGCCGAGATTGAGAGCAATATTCATGACACCCAGTCACAGCTTGTACAAGCACAAAATGACTGCGACAGCCTGGAGGCTCAGGTTAATGAGCTTCTGAGCGACTTAGCACAAAGCTGTCGGTCAAAATCTTGCCTGGAGGAACGAATGGCTGTACTGACATCTGAGGGTAACGTGCTCAGGAATCGCGTAGCAGAGCTAGAGTCCGCGCTCAGAGAAAATTATGATTCCAGAATCAAAGCTGAAAATGCTCTGTCTATGGCACACTCGAAGAATGAGACATCCGAGGCGAATTTGGGGGATCTTCGTAGGCAAGCGCACGAGTCAGAGACGATCAAACACAGGCTCCAACAGGATCTAAGTAAAAGTATCAGCCGTAATTCAGACCTTGAGGCCCAACTTTGCTTTGTACGGGAGTGCTTAGTGAAAACTGGGTTGGAATCAAAAGACATACAAGCACAGCTGTCGCACCTGCAGAAGAAGACAACGACTCTTCAACGGGCGAAGGAAAATGCCGACCAAGCATTGATTTGTATGGAACAATCTCATGGGAAGCTCGAGGAGCAACTGCAATACATGCAGTCGCAATTGCATGATGCACTGTCGAAGATGTCGCAGTCAGAATCAAGATTGGCATCGAACGAAGAGGAACTCGAAGCCATGTTTCGAGCCAAAGCAACTGTTGAGAAGCGACTCGAGCAGACACACAATGAAAACGTGCGGCTAGAGGAAGAGTTTGCACTTACTCGGGAAAGCAACAGGGCTATCAAAAGCCAACTGGACAATACCATGAACTCCAATGGTGGCTTAGAGAAGGACCTCGCTGTGGCACGAGCAGAGGTAGACCAGGCAAATATGCAGAATTCCAAACTGCAGTCTAAGATGAGCAGCCTGGAGCAGCAATTGGAAAGCTACCGGCAAATCAAGGAGAAATTAGAAGCAAGGCTGAGCGAAGCACTCAAAGTCTCGGCAAGTACAGAACGTAGTATTTCTGACACTCGCTCTCGACTACAAGAGGTCGAGTCGCATAAATCTTCACTCCTTGGAGAGCTGCAGGAGACTAGAGAAGAGCCGGGCGCCCTGCGACGAGAGAAGATCGAATTGGAAGCCAAAGAGGACACCTCGGAAAAGGAAATTGAGACTGTTGTGAAGAAGTGTTCGAGCCTCCACTTACAAGTAGCGGAGCTCGACGCCCATAGTGCTGAATTGGTCTCTCAGCTGTCGGCGAGTGAAAAGGAGCTGGAAGGTTTGCGGCTGACACACTGCGAGCTTGAAGAATCTTCTCGAATTACATTCAATCGTACCAGTGAGCTTGAGGTGGAACTCAAAGCTGCTCAAATGCGTCTCGAGATTGCCGAGTCAGAGAACTTGAAGGCAATCACCAAGCTTATCATGGCTGATCGCGAACTCGACTCTCTCAAGGTCACCAGAACCAAGCTTGAAGCCTCGGAACAAGAGCTTTTTGTACGCCTTGCGGCGGCAGAAGAGGAACTAAACACTGCACGCGAGAAAAATGCCGACCTAGAAGCCTTCCTTGAGCGAGTGCAGTCAGATATGGCCAATGCATACTCTGCAGTTGAGGAAACCGAAAGAAGTTGTAGAGAATTTGTCGATTGCTCTGAAGCCAAACTGAGCGCTGCAGACAATTCCAAGTTACGTTCCAAGCGCAGATTGCATCAGAGAAACAGTGAACTTGAGATCCTCATCAGCGAAAACTCCAACCTACATCAGCAGATTGGGATGCAGACCCGCGAAATAGGTGCCTTGGAGAAGGGTAAGAACAAGCTTGCAGACGATCTGTTGAGCAAAGAGAAGTACATCAAAGAGCTTGGATCGTCAGCGGGTGAGCGTATGAGATCCATGAACGCGGCCTACAACGATCTGAGGAGAAAATTTGAAGAGCAGCAACGCAAACATCAGCAGCTGCGCTGCAACCATGACACTGCAGCACGCCTGGAAGCCGAGTTAGAGAACAAACTGACACAGATAGAAGAAATTCAGAACAAACGCGAAGCGTACGCAGCCTCTTTTTGGGCTTTGGAGCAAGAGGTTGAAGTGTTGAGGAATGATAAGAGGGCATTTGAAATGTTGATATCAACACTTCAGGAGAAGATCAGGCATCTCGAAGTGCTGGAAGAGTGGAAGCAGCCCAGCGACATCAATCCATCTGGATCGCCCTGTCACACTACTATCGAAGATGAACCTTACGATACTGCTCCCTCGAGCCCAACGTCGCTACATGCGGGAAGCTCTATCGGACCCAGCAGCGTGCAGCACGAGAGGCCAGAAACCAGGGCCAGTACCATTTCTCCTGAAGAAGATCTTGACATGTGGGCTAGACATGTAGAGCAAGTGCGCATACAAAGGGATGAGGCAGCACTCCAATTAAAGGGCATGAAAAAGTCACAGCACAATCTTAAGAAGACGTCGAGAAACACTGACGCCCAACTACACAGGTTAGAAAAGGAGAACAAAGCGTAAGTGCCTTGGTCAGACATGAACCCACCATCCTCGACTGACACCCTCTAATAGCAAACATCATCCAAATCTTCTCCGGAAGAGGAGTCGCCCTATGGATACCTCTATTCTCACTGACCATAGCTCTCCATCCTCCTCGCCGCGTATAGGAGGGCAAACCTCTCGGGTTACTGCTACCCGGCCTAGGACTTCTTCACATGGGTTTTCCTTGTTCTCTCACTCTACCATGAAAGCGCGGCATAGCATACATCTACCTCACTATCATTTAGAAGATAACAGAGCGTCACTTGAGCGCCCTAAGATGAGCTATACCCTTGGTGGTAGACGAACTGTAAGCGTTGGAGACGAGATTATACCTAGCCCTGGAGCGTATAGGAAAAAGTGGGGTCTAGGCCTACGTGGATTGTTCCTTAGAGATAACTAGTTTCTTCCTATAGTGTATAGGTGTAACGTGTAGAACTATAAGATAGAGACGGGATAGTAAAAAAACATAAAAGCACAAGTTGTAGTTTTCCACGTACTATATTTAAACTAATCAAATAGGACTTATTATGTACAGTAGTGAATGAAAAAGCTAATATATAGTAGTTTGAAGTACAACGACCATCTTTTAGTAAGTATAATATTAGAAAGTAACTTCTATAGAAGAATATAAAGTAGATATAATAGCTCTATATCAAGTAGTAGAAAAACAAATATATAGAGGTATAGTAGAATTCAAGTTACAGAGGGATGATAGTAGGAAAACGTAATAGAAAAAAGACTAATTTTCATTCCAATATATCTTAGCTGATAGAATAGCTAGAAATAAGTAAGGTGGTAATTAAAAGAGCTAAGATCTAGTAGTTTAGCGTAGTAGGCCTGCTTTATACTTAGTAAGTAACTAATTATAGATATATATATATAAAAATATAAAGAAGAAATAACTAAAATATATTCCTTAATATTACTTTTTATTTTTAGTTTTTCTATCTTTTTTTATAATATTATAATTGTAACGGGCTGAACGCCCTTTGGATAGCTCCTCGATGGAATCTCGGTCAAGCAGCAGACGCCAGGTCTTACTCTGCAACCCGGCATCTGTGCGAGGCCTGAGCGGC